ATAACTTAAAAATAGAACAAATTTTAAATTAGTTTAAAAGTTTAAAAATATAAAAGTTAAATGCAATATAGATTATAATAGTATTAGTAAATAAATTTTAATATGATTGGTTGGGACCTATTTAGGACTAAGTCCTTATTGGTCTAAAAAATTAGACCTAAAGATTTATGGACTTAGTCTAAGGACTAAGTCTTTGAGTTCAGGACCTAAGACTTTACCAACCCTAATCATATACGGGTAATCCTATATATAAATTTTATTAGTGAGCGCTAAATTAGCTATAATAATAAGTTACCAGATTTTAATAATTGAGGCTGCAATTAATACTTAAGATAGGAATCACAATAATATCAAACTTTATTAAAAATGCAGAATATCATCATATACATCAAAAGTGCTAATACAAGAATATTTAGGAAAAAATGATATTCTTCAACTGTTCAAGCCATACTTCATCATATTTTTTCTGCAAGACTTTTTTATCTTTAGCACTAGCTGGCCAGTCAATATTCTCATGATTCATAAATAATGGATAGCAGTCTCTTCCTGCAATCCCAGCCCAATTGAAATCTACAAGCATTGCCTACTTTAGCTAATCCTTTTCATATACCAATATTTTATTTGGATGGAGATCTGCAAATACTAGGTTGTTATGATGTAATAGAGAGATAGCTTGCTGTATATCTTGAAACATCTGATCTTGATCTTTTTTCAAATTAAATGTAATTTCATGCAATGGCTTTGCCTCTTTGATGTTTTCCATGATAATCATGATCCAACCTGATACTATCTTTCTATCTACACAAAATAATTGGGGTGCTAAACCTTTAGAGGCACACAACCTATGTGCATCACCACAGTAATTTTTTGTAAATTTAACAATTTTATCAATGTTCATATCTGAAATTGTTGCTGTGTACATTGATTTTGAGCTTGACATCCAAGATTCATAAGTAAATTCTACTTTCTTATTATCTATTATAAGCAAATTTGGATATGGAAAAAGATTCTGATAATCACAAGGATGTTTTGAACTCCAAGCAAATTCAACAGTTTTGTTGGTATGGTAAAAGTGCTTCAAATCTGTAATTGCAAGTTTCCATGCTTGAAATAGTCTAGCAATATAGTCTAACTCATTAGGATGCTTTGTTGGTACTAGTGAAACAAAATCTGTCAATGGATCTACAATAAGGTGGTCTGTGAAAATGCTTGCAGCAATACACAACTAAGGTCCAGCTAGACACATAATAAGTGTTAGACAGTTACAGGTTTTTTGGAAGGATTTATACTATATATGATTGAATAAACAAATATTAAATTAATATTTGTACATATTTCTACTTATTTAAATATGTAGGCTTACCTTATTCTGTTTCCAGAAATTTAAAACTGAAAATGAAGCTTGCAAAAAAGGGTCAGATCTCCCTTCTCCTATTTCATTTTTAACTTCATATAGAGCAACCAAATATCTATCATTTTCTAATAGAACACCATTATTACTTGATCCATCATCAACTGTGATTGATATGAAGTTCAAGTCGAATACATCAATGAGAAATTCATTAAATATTTGTTGCTGTTATTTTTCAGATTGGTAGGTTTGTACTATAATGTCTATAAAATTATGCACTTTGTTACATAGATTTCTTGATATTTCAAGGTTCTTATTGTTGTAGTTTTTAATAAACTTTCTAAAGACTGGATGGAAGAAAAGCACTGGTTGACCAACAAACTTAGCAGGCTGATGGCAGTATATCTCTATTTTTTTTTGCACTTTTGATAGATTCTGTAACCGCGTAGCTGATGATGATAGGAGTATAAACTTTACTACTTTCATGATATCTTCTTTAGTTTTAAGCATCTTAGAAGGTCTAAGTGTTTTATTTCCAATTTCTCTCCTAATCATAGAAGGAAAAAGGAAGAATATCATACTCATGTATCTTCACTATAAATGCATAAATAGAAAGAATTGCTAGTTTCAATATTTTGCGAACGTAACCTATTTTCAAGTTCACGTTTCTCGGGAGAAATGACTATGCGGCAAGAAAAACTAGTTAGATTAACTCTAGCTACAGCAGCATTATCTCAATGAAGTCATATAAAAAAAAACGTCTACTCTATTCTCAACGCTCGAATCACAAAGTTGTTACCTGTTTGAGTTCTTGCTTGCCACAAGTCTTTGTCCCTCCTCGCCCACACTTTTTTGCAGGTCTTCACAGCATCCTTCAACTTTTGCTCTTTTTTCTTCAAATCGTCCAGCCACGACTTCTCTTTGATATATATGGTCCTATTCACCTTCTTTTCCCTCAGCTCATTCAGCTTTTCTTCTTTGTACTTCCCATTCTGAAACCTCTTCAACGCCGCATTCATCTCTTTAAGTTTCTTATCTGTCTTCTTCACTTGTTGCTAATAGTATTCAAGCGTAGTAGTAGCTATAGTAGTTTTTGTTTTGGTTTTCGATGGGATGCTTGCTGCGCGATGTGATCTATTCTAACTATAGATGCCTGCTGAAACCTCCTCAAAATAATTTTGTCATACCCTTTTCTATGTTTTTAAAATAGTTTTGACAGTTTTGGCTTTCGTCGTATCGAATAGGTTTTATCGTATTCTTTATTATGATTTTAATATAATTTTGTCTAAGTTTTGACTGTTATTAAGGGTTTCATCCCTCATCTATAATTCTAATGCTGCCGATCAGTGGCTTAATTAATGATGTTAGTATATCAGAAACTTTCTAGATTTATTCACAATTGAAATTATTGTTTCCTGTATGCTGAGTGTGACCAATGATAATATCATTACGTTGAAACAATTGATTTGCCAATCAAACGGTTTTTGTGCATCATTTATTAATTTTCATACTTACTCTATTTCTAATATGATAATGGTTTGCTGGTCATGAATTGTGTCGGAGCTGTTATACTTGAGACACAAGGAACCAAAATTATCATATTATTATTATTCTAACTCGAATAGTATATGGAGAATTATGGAAACTTGTATCGATTATTGATTGTAATGCAAGGATAATAAAAGAGCAGCTATTTGCTTATGTTTTAATCTTTTGTTTCTTTCTTGATTCACCATAAGCTGGTAGTAATATTCGTTTATTATTTATTATCTTTCGTTCTTCTTGATATATTTCATAAGTAATTTTTTCTTGATCTAGATATTCCTGGAGTGTTTGGATATCATTCATCTTAAAAATATATGGAACAATTTTTTCACTCTGTTTATTCTTTAAAATGCTTCTAATAGTGCTATAATTCTTGAGTTTCATAGTGGATTTAATGTAAATTAGTTTCATATTTATATTTTTATATAGAGATAGTCCTATATTAATTCTGTTATGGTTTATATTCATCACATTCTGGTATGATAATGGGAACATTAAAATTAATAAGTCTATAAGTTATGAATAAGCACCATTATTACTTTTCAAAACATCATCAGTCATACTGGTTAATTTTACAGCCACATCATAATCAGCCTCTCATTTATGTCACATAATAGAATGTTCATTTTGTCTGATTTTGTTGCAGTATGCCCCATATATTAAATAATATTTTAGAGAATAAAAAAGTAATAAAAATCTTAAATTATACATAATACTATTTCTTAGATTATCTAATAAGTAAATTTGCCTGTAAATTTAAAAAATAAGGATTAATTTTTTTAATAAAATATTAAATATTAATTTTAATAATATCGATATAGTATTTATATGAAAAATTTTTAAAAAATTTATTATAATAATTTTTAAAAATTTCTTTAAAATTTATATATTTACAAACTAATTAAATCAATTTATTACTAATAAAAGTTATAAAATTCTTAATAACTTATAAAAATTATAATAATTAAAATTATTTTTCATGATTAATTTTATAATATTCTATTATAATTAATATTGCTAAAAATAAAAATAATAAGATTGTTAAAGATTAATAATAAAATTTTTTAATATAATTTAAAAGATAATATTATTAGTCAAAATGATATTTATATGATTAAATAGAAAATTTGCTATTAAAATTAAATTATAAAAATAATAAATCATATGATTTATAATATAATTTTAATAGCTTACTTTCTAAATATAACACTTATTAAAAGTCAATATCACTTATAAAATACAAATATATTAAATATATATTATGAAAAAAATATCTTTTCTAATATATATTTATATGTATATTTTTTTAAAAAAATAAGTTCAAATTTATGGAAGTATAGAAATTAATCATTTTTCTTAATCTTTTTCTCTTATAATTCTTATAAAATTTTAATAAATAAAATCTTTTAAATAAAAATGAATTAAAAAGAATATTTTTTAAAAGTACAGACCTAGAAAATCATAATATATAATAAACTATTAGCAAATTCTTTTTAAAATCTATTATGATATTAAGTTTAAATACTATATCATTAGGATAATAAAGCTTATTTACTAATAAAAAATTTAAGTTATTAAACTATAAAAAAATTAAATATGAATTATTTAAATTAAAAGATCAGATTATCTTTTTGATAATTT